GACCAATTAATTGAGCCTAACGGTTCTAAATTGACAAGTTACATTGGTACAATTGTAAGGAGAGAAATTCCAATAACTTGTGATGAGTGGAGAGATGATAAGCTGGATGATACTAAAAACAAAATCTGGAGTGAGATACAGGTACTTTAAATTATGTCTTTAAATTACGATTATGTACTTTAAATTATGTCTTTAAATTACTTATACTAACGCACTTTGTGTATGTTTTTTGTAGAGGTCTTTCAACATTGATGACACAAGAAAATATTATTGTCTTGGATTGGCCGGCAAAATACTAAGAGGGTTTAGAACATATTTAAACAGAAAATATCTTAGAGATGCCGGAAAAAAATTTGTTGATGCAGAGCGTCCAGCAGAATATGCATATGTGATTTTAGTTAAAGAATGGAATGTTTTTAAAGCCAAACGGAAAACCCCAAAATTTTAGAGTGTAAGTGACGTAAATCGTCAAAGAGCATCATCTCCTGCATATCCATACAAAAAAGGGCGTTTGGGATATGCACGATTAGAACAAAAAATAGTAAGTATTTATAAATTGAAATGATATACTTGTTCATCAAGAGTTATAATTGAGCTTGTTTTTTGTGTTAATATGTAGTTAAAAGAGGAGAGTAGTTCTGAAACATCTCTTCCAGAGCATGTTTTGTGGAAGGCTGCCCGTGTGGATAAGGATGGAGTTCTTAAAGAAGATGTACAACAAATTTTTGAAAAATGCGTAAGTATAACATTAATTCTAATTAAATCAAAATTGTATTAACATATAATATTCATGTTTTTCCAATATTCATATGAATTTCAGGAGAGTCTATCTCAGTCTACATCTCCACCAGATGATTGCAGGAGCATACTTAGTCGAGCATTAGATGTTCGTGAGTATTCTGGTAGGGTGAAGGGTAAAGGACATGGGGTTACTCCAAGCTCCTTGAAAAAGAACAACCCAAAGACAAAATCTGCTAGCAATAAAGAACTGCATGCAAGGTTGGATGCATTAGAAGCTGAAGTTCTTGAATCGAGGAAGGAAAAAGCAAGACATTACCAATCAGAAAGGGAAGCTTCGGGTGTTAAAGAAACTAGTGACATAGCTAGTGTCAATTGTGCAGCTCAACCGAGTATTCCCGAGGTACTTACATATATTATTATGAAATTAAATTAGTGTAATTTATTTAACTGACATATATACACATTAACGATGTCATATTTATTATTGATTTTAGGGCATTTCACCTTGTCAACTCTTTTTAGAGACACCAACTTATCGCATGGTTGGCAAGGGAAAAGTCCATAACACTCTGGGAGAAGTACTTCATCATAAACCGCTCCCTTCTTGATATTTGAAAGTGTCGATTGATATTGCTTTAGAGGAGGGTGCGTTATTACCAATCCCAGATGAAGTTTCGGATGCAACATTGGTGGGAGAGGCAATATGAGCGTTTGTTGCATGGCCGTCAAGACTCGTTCGCATAGATGATGAGGTATAATTAAAACCATTATGAACCTTTTAGTACTCAAATTTTTTACGTTCGTTTTACTTACATTTTTTTTGCATGGTAATGTTAGACTCCTACAAAACCCAAACCAAAAGATAAAGGGATTACGCGGCCAAAGGAGTCAGTGACAGCAAAAAAACAGGTACAACACAATTATATGATATGTATGCTTAGATAATGTTAATTTGTCGTCCTATACTTGACCACTCTAATTTTATGATATTTAGATTATTCCTGCTAAAGAGATTGAAGCTGTAAGTAGGGGTAAGGAGCCTGTAATTAGCAACATTCCCACAGAAACAAAGAGTGTTGCTAAGAGGACCGGGGCTAGAAAGAAAACTACTTCACAATATAGGTCGTGCCTTCATACATATATAAGCTTCACAACTATTTCGCAAGGTGGTACTTCTCTTATACCCCTGGATGAAGGGATTTATGGTTCTGAAGGCATGACATCAATTGGTAAGGAGGATTTGGAAAAAGTTTTTGGACACTTGACATTAGGCATCGCTGTTATCAATACATACATCAGGTATACTCCAATCAACTTTGTTTAATTAATTGCAGAATTTATTTACTCATTTCAATGAATAATTAATGTTAATGATGTTTTTATTTAAGGTTTCTGTATGACAAGTAGATTCGTCCGCGTGGATTGGAGTCCAGATTCGCTTTCATAAATCCCAACGTTGTCCACGCAGGGTCAATCATCTCAAAACCAGATGAAGTAATAGCATTTGTGCTCAGTTTATTTATGGCCAGCAAAGATACAGAAAAATTGTTCTTTTTACCATATAATACTGGCCCCAAGTAAGATTTTCATTCTAAATTTCCTTTATTATAATTTTTCGTTTTTTAACATTGTGCAGAAAATTTCCATCTAACATTTGTTTAATATTCCAGTGGACACTGGTTATTGGTTGCAATTAATCCTGTGAGAGAAATTGTATATTATCTGGATTCATTGGGCAATGATTGGACAACATACCCAGATATGAAGAAGACGATTGACACGTAAGTGAGATTGTTCCAAAATATTACTGTGTATATTTAATTATTTATGTGCGATAGTTCTAAATATTCGTTATTATTTTATTATAGCATTCTACAAAGTTTTCGAGCACAAAGAGATATTCAAGTACCAAGGAGTAGAGTCAACAATATTTCTGGGATCAAAGTGGAGGTATAGATTTTTCATAATTTTGATTATATAGCGATGATACTTGATAAAACAAGTTAAGGTGTATATCTTGATGTATATCCGTATTTTCTTTCCATGTGTAGTGTCCTCGTCAGTGCAATGGTGTAGATTGCGGTTATTTTATATTGAGGTTTATGAAAGAAACTATTCTTTTGGACCGATTAGAGATTTCATCCACGGTATGAATTTCTAACTTAGGAATTATTTTAATATTTCTCATAAAATGACTTAGTATTTTAATTAAATCATACTATGTTATATTATTATGTAGTACTTTGATGAATTCAAGTGTGCTTCATACTCAAAAGATCAATTGGATGAACTTATGGAGGATTGGTGCCAATTTGTTATGGAGTTGAGAGTTTTATTATAAGGTATAACTTTGAGTTTTGAGAATATAATATATGTCGTTATAGTTGTGTTACAATATTATTGTTTTTGTTGTTGTTATTTGGTAACTTGTATGAATTTTGATTTTTTGATTTTGTTTTAGGTTATATAGGTGCAACTCGATGTAGAAGATAGAGTTATTTTATAATTCATTGTTGATTTTGTTTCATTGTTGTATATACTAATGTTGTTGTTGTGTATATTGTGCAAAAAGGATTGAAGAGATTAATATTGATGTTGTTATAATATTGTTTCATTGTGGTATATTGATGTTGTTGTTTAAAATGTTATAATGAAACTATAAATTCTGGTGCAAAAATAGTGAGATTAAATTTGATAGACAGCGTTTTGTTTTAAATGAAAAAAAAATTATATTTAAAAAAATAATAAGGAAAAGCGCTGCTAAAGGGGGGGAATAGACATCGCTTTTAATGAGAAGCGTTGTCTAAAGTGTTAGAAAAAAAATTATATTAAAAAAATAATAAGGAAAAGCGTTGCTAAAGGGGGAGGGGGGAATAAACAGCGCTGTCTAAAGTGATTGAAAAAATATATATTAAAAAATAATAAGGAAATGCGCTGCTAAAGGGGGGAGGGGGGGGGGGGGAATAGACAGCGCTTTTACCAAACGCTGTCTAAAGTTCCACATTAAAAGCGCTGTCTAAAGGGGCTGCTAAAGGGGTACCTATAGCAGCGCTTTTGAAATTACATAAGTGCTGTCTGTACCTTTAGCAGCAGAGGTTTTAGCAGCGCTTTTAAGCGCTGTTAAAGGCCTAAAAAAGCGCTGTCTAATCCCTTGTTTGGCATAGTGTTAGTATATAGAATTGGGGTTTAGAGTATTAGATTCATTATTGCGTTTTGTTGAAATTGAATGATCAATTGAATTTTGTTCTTGCTTATAATAATAATTGATAGGAAAAAGTAATAGAAATTTTATTGAGTATCATGTTGTATATTGAATTCGTTGTGCTAATTGGATTGAATACTGAGTTTACGTTGAAACGGTAACGAAACTGGACAAGAAAATGAAAGAATTTGGAGAAGGCAAACACGACCATTATGATAGTATAAACTGTATTTAGCAATTAAACTTTTATTTTATTTTATATCATAAAATCAAAAAGAATTTAATTATTCATATTAATTATATAAAATATTTTATATTAAATAAACAATTATGATGTATTAATAGTGTAAAAAAATTCATGTTTAATAACATGGATAAGTATTTGAAATTAAATATAAATAAAAGAGAAAATAATATTTTGTCAACTAATTTTTCTTTTTTTAAAGAAGTCTTACAACAAGATTCACCGACACTCTAATTGTAGAGAAGATATGTATTGTAAGTTAGAATATTTGTCTAACATGTACAATTTTTGTATATTGATTTTAATTAAACTTGTTTTAATTTGAACACGCATATTTTAGTAAAAAGTCAACTATAGATAATACACTTAGTTTGGTAAAAGAAAAACACATCAGAGCATATAAGTTATAAGCAAATGGTAATTAATTAATATATTAGTAGTATATTACAGCATCATCATAAGTACAAATTAGCTGCGGGTTACTATTTTTATTAACCACATCAGCCTTTCCTACACTTCCTTTCACCCTTTTAGCTTTCGCTTTCCCTTTCCCTTTTCACTTCCAGTTAACCTCTCTAGCAATAGCATACAAATTCAAAGTACAGTCTTACTCTTGCACCTTCATTATATTAATATGATTATCATATCAAACCCTACCAATAACAAGAAAGACAAATCAACACCTAGTCACAATTAAATTGTCATTCTCTCTCCATCTCCATCTCCATCTCCATCTCATTCTCACCATGCATACAGTAAAAAAAACACCAACTAGAAATAGTAAAAACAAAAAACTCAGTTTTCTCAATATCATTAGACTCTAAAATTCTTTCCAGTGAAAGTTTGACCAAATTGCCAATTAGGAGGTGCAATATTCCAAGAAGTTGAAGATCTACGGTCACTGCTCGAGACACGGAAAGACAATGCCTGGCCCACCAAAACCGCGTTAGATTGCCAGTTCTGACCCCAGTTTCGGCTCAGTGGCATCCACCCGGTTCGGGTTCCTTTCACGTACGCGCGCACGATATCACCAGCACCCGCCACGTTGCTAATCAGCACCAGGTTAAAGTAACGGAATCCATTCACCGTGAATCTTATTCCCCCGCGCTTTCTACATGGCACCCTGCGTAAATAACAACCAATAACGTCACCACTTTTGACTTTTTCACATCTCTAATCTTTTTTCTTATTTCTACACATTATGCTATTATAGTACATATACCCTACCATAATTAATACCAACTTCAACTTTTTTTTTGTACTGTCTATATCACTTATCTTAAATTATCAATTTTTTTTCATGGTTGAGTAGATGTGCATATTAAATAGGAATGGACGTAATTAAGATAAATAATTATAAAGCAAAAACAAAACCGAAAGTAACTAAAAAAATAAAAAAGTATGTATTCAAAAGTACAATTACAAAGCAGGAAAAAATGAACATCCTTAATGAACAAACAGTCTTATCAATTATCATGCTATCACTTAACCTCCTTATGCTATATTTGTAGAATTAATTTAGTACCAAAGCAACGAAAAAGTTATAGACCAATAGGAACAAGATACGTGGGTGGTTTCGTTGTTTCGTAACCCTACCCCACCTCATGAATGAAACACAGATCATGTGTGAACTGAGAGTTTTTCACATACCCAAAAAGTTCAAAATGCCATCAATTTGACTCAAGCAACCATATACGGAAATGAATGAAGTAACTAGGGGCAATAAAAATAATAAATTATAAATATAGGAAACTGAACTAACCTGCGATAAGCAACAGGGACGATCCCAGCGCGATACTCAGCAATCTTAAGAAACATAGGCATGGCGAGATCAAAGTGAGGACGAGGAGGGTTACACCAACCGCCATTATCATTAGGAAGAGCAAAATTAGGAGGACAAAAGTTAGTTGCAGTTATCAGAATGGAAGGACTTCCCGAATGGCACCATTCTCTGTCGTTATCACACTTTATCTCAAAACAAGCACCACAGCTCAGACCACTGTTGAACAAAGCAGTACTCAATGCCGCCGTGTTCACTCCGTAACCTTGACTGTACAAGTTTCCATAACCACATGCTCCACCTAAACACCAATTTAACAAATTAACACAACATAAGTAAACAAAAAAAACATAACAATTTTATTTTAATGTTTAATTAGGTACATTGTGCGTACCCATGGTGCCGGAAGCATCAGATCCGCCATAGAAAGTTGCATGAGCAGTTTGCCATTGACCACCAGAGTAAATTCCGGGGATTTTGGCTTCAATAACCGACATTGTGTAGATGATGAAGGCAATGTAGGGGATTTTGGCCAACATGGTTGTTTCTAGGTTTTTGGTTTTCTTCAAGAATGAGAGAGATTTGAGTAAGAAACAGATTACTCTCGAGATTAATTGAGAGGTGAGAGTTGATTGGAGAGTGGGAGAGGGAGGGTCGAGTACTTATGGAGTGTGGGGAAGTGCTGGTTACAGCAACTTGCTTTGTAGGGGTAACTTTTGGAATTTAGATTTTTTTATTTTTTTTCTGGAATTTCTTCGAGATTGATACTAACGCTCTTTCATGCGCGTGGTTATCGGTAAGCCATTTGCATAATAGTGCGTGATCCTTGAATTAGATACGGATTAAGTGACAGGAAAATTTATAAAAAAAATAGAAAAAAAAACTTTAAAAGATTGATCATACTTCTTCCGTTTTAAAATATAAAAAAAAAAATACATTAATTAAAAAAAGTAAAAATATAATTATTTAACATATAATTTTTTGAAATAAAATATTTAAAAAAATATAAAAACAATTTTAATAAGATGTTGGTTATAGAAAAAATAAAAGAGAATATAAACTATATGTATTTTATGATTGATATTACTTTAAAAAAAGATTTTAATTTTTTTCTTATATTTTAAAATTAAAAAAAAAATTCTGTTATATTTTACGACCGAGAGAGTATAATATATAAGACCATTTACAATGGTTGAAAAACTCAACACCCACTTTTTCAACTCCCAACACTCCACATCATTTTCTCTTTCTTCCACCTAATAACTCAACACTCATTCAACTTTTACCCTCTCCAATGGTTTTTCACTCAACACCCTACCCCACCACTTTTTATTTTCATATTCTTATTTAAATTTTATTTTTATTTTTATGATTAGCAGAATTTGGTTAAATGTTGGGATTTAAATTTTACTTTTTATTTTCATATTCTTATTTAATTTTATTATTTTCATGTTGGGATTTTGGTTAAATGGAAAATTAGCAGAATTTTGAGTGTTAAAATGATTATTGGGATCCATTTCACTAAAAAAATACACTTAACTTCAAAATAAACACTAATAATAAAATTAAGATAGTGAAAAACTTAGTTTTTTTTTGTGTCCAAATCAAATGAACCAAGTCTCTATTTATAGAGAAAAAAAAATCATGAATTTTGGTAAAAAAAAAAAAAAATTTTAATTTGCAACGAAATAATTGAGTTCAAAGTATTAAATGGATAAAAATCTGATCAGCCAATCAAGCACAGCCACGTGGCAGCTTCAATTGTGTTGAGTTTTCTCAACACCTCTCTCTTCCAACACACACTCAACACCTCTCTCAACACCCATTGGAGGAGATTTTGTATGTTGAGTTCAAACTCAACATACCCATTGCACATGGTCTAAGAGGGACAAATTAATAAATGAGAGTTTAAGTATTTAGGTTTAAGGTGGATGGACAAAAGTGTCCTTGGAAAATATTGTGTATTTGGATGAGGTTGGGTGACGTCATAAAGCAAAATATTGGAGTATAAGTGGGAAAAGGTGAATGCTCCTTCGTGTTGTGAGTATATGGTAGAGTGTAGATTATTGAAAGAAGAAAAGTAAGAGTAAAAGAAAGCGACAAAAAGAAGAAAAAAAAGTGGGAAGGGTTAAAAGTTAAAACGACCTAAGATTTAAAGAGGGCTGTTGAGCGTGATTAGCGGGTGTAGTTGAGGGAAGTAGGGTGGGGCCAACGATTTTATTGATATTCTATCACTCTTTTTGTGGATGCTATATTTTAAGTTTATAATTTGTTTTTTTATAGTTTATAAATTTATATATTTACCAAATTTTATATTTGATATTATTAATTTTTCATTATTTTGCCTTTTTTTTATTTATAAGTAATTGATTTATAAGTCATTTATGTAAATGAAGAGTGAAGGCTTCCGAGAAAGATGAAGAGAAAAATTGTTTAAGACTTAAAAATCAAATAGCCTATTCAATTTAATACAAACAACAAAAAAATCAACTAATCTTAAATTTTAATAAATTTTTGTAAGAATGACATTGTACTTCGGTTAGAAATCATAAATGATTAATGAAATAGTGATATGAGATCTTGGATCGGTTGAATAAATTTTTTTGTATATTGAAGAGGGATACGATTTTTAAAGTTAGCACTTTAACATTCAAGTCAATTAGAGAATGAGAAATAACGTGAGAGTGAGAATGATTATAAATATTTGAAATGACGTGTCTTCTTCTTTATATTGAGTGAGCGATTAAAACCGTTTGTGTGAGGGAAGACATCTTATGTGGATGGTCGTTGGGTTTAATCAGACAGTGATTGACACGTCCAAAAGGCAGAATCATTTTCCTTTGGTGGAATGATGGATCAACTACTCATGTGATCTTTCACTTGAAGTCGCTCTTGGATCTTTCGCTATAGGTCTTGCTAACATCCCATAACAGTTGTCATTCAAGGCATTATCTCTGCTTTATAGGACGAGGGTTTGATGTGTACTTGTTGGACAAGTGACTTAAAACACAAGAGGAAGGTAAATAGTTTTGGTTTAAAAAACAATGTCCAATTATAAAAATTGATTTTATAAAAACGTTAAAATTAATTTTATAAATTAAACAGAGAATATTCAGCGAAATAATTAAAAGAACAAAAATCAAATAAATGAAAAGATGAAAATAATGGAAAGAAATAAAGAACTGAAATGTAGAGAGATAAGGGTAGAGAGATATCCTCTGACAATTTATACAAGTTTGACCTAATCACTTGACATACTCATGTCTCGAAGAATTTCTTCTTGAGAATTTCCACTATATGTGATGTGGGCTTTTCACAAATTATGCCTACAAACCTTCTTACAAACAAATAATAGATTTTATGCGAGCTAACCCCTAAACCGAATGAGATATTTTACATCGAGCTAATCTCATAACTAAACAGAACTTTTACACCAGGTTGAGCTCAAGAGCCAAGCAGGGTTTTTAACGGCTAAACTCAATAATCAAACAAAAGTTTTTAAGGGGTTGAGCTCTAAACAAAATATATATTTTACAGCTAAACTCTATAACCAAACAAGAGCTTTAAACGAGATGAGGTCTCAAACCAAACATAGCTTTTACTTAGATAATCTTAAGAGCCAAATAGAGCTTTTCTACGTATTCAGATTCTCTTTGATATCTTGATCTCATAGAGGCATCTTGATAAAACATCTTGATTAATGCCTTTTCTTGACATATAAAGACTTTGCACCATAGTGTTATCATCATCCAAACCATAATGAACATCTGACGTAGAGCTGTCAAAATGGGTTATCTGACCCTAAACGGTCGGCCCTAGAGAGCCTCAGCCTTTTTAGGGCTGGGCCAAAAAAGCCTTGTTGTAATATGGGCTTGAAAATTACTACTCGAGCCCGACCTTAGATGGGCTTCGGACTACCCGACCCTAAACGAGCATTTTTTATAAAAAAAATTAAAATAATAACCCCATAATATTTATTATAAATAAAATTAAAAATTATATTATTTTAAATATAATACATTTTTAAGTACTATATTATTTTTTTATAAATACTATAATGTGTTTTTAAATATAATACATCTCTAAATTGTATAAAATAATACTCAAATATTTTACATAAGAGAAACTAATAGATTACGTGGAAAGAGAGTTGTTTATATTAATGTATAATATTTAAAAGAGAAATATTGAATATAATAGATATAAAATTTACTGAGGTGAGAATAACCAATGTGATATTTTGGAGTAAGACAATATAAGTATTAATATAATTTATTAATAATTTATAGTTATGCGGGTCTAATGGGCTACTCACGGCCCATACGAGTTAGCCCTAATGGGTAGCATGCTTTTTGAGGGCTAGGCTAAAAATCCCTGAAAAATACGGGCTCTAATTTTAAGGCCCAAGCCCTATGATTTTCCAGGCCTAACGGGGCAGCCCATATGGGCTAACACATTTGACAGCTCTAATCTGACGATTGTAGATAGTTGTGCCTTCAAGCGCATAGATCCATATTCTCCTCCTTTTGATGATGATAAATCATCTCTCAGGGAGTTGGGATAAACTTAAAAACACAGATAAAAGATTGGAGTAATTAAATTTCTCCCCCTTTGACATTATCAAAAAGGCGGGATAAAAATAAACATATAGACAAAAAAGTGGGAAAACATATTCAAGCACAATAGATCATAAATTCAAACATGGAGAATATAATACTTATAATTAATTAGAACGAAATAGATCCAAATTACAATAAAGAATGAAAATGTAAGAAGATATGCACTCTAATCGATTGGGACCTAATTCAATTGATTAGGAATAATTTTTTGAATTTCCCAATAGATTTCGAGCCTTATGCCAATCGATTGGAAAAATCCAAAATAATTAAACAACTGATTATGAGAGTGTCTTAATGAGGGGCAACAAATCCTTTTAAAAAATTTCCAAAATGGGCCAGAATAATCGATTATTTCAATCATCCAATCGATTGGGTTTAGGATCCAATCTATTGGGGAATTTAAAATGACCATGGATCTTTTCTGTAGGGTTATATTTGTGAGTGTCCTAAACAAGGGTGTCCTTGTCCAAGAGTGGTGTCGCATAGGCGGTATCCTCGCGGAATAGAGGGCTCTCCATTTTGGCACTGATTACATGTGTAATGTCGTTGGTCAAAAGAGAGGGAGTCCACCACTATCCCTTAAAGATTAAGGGGTCAACAACTTCCCCTGATCATGTGGGAGTGGTCATCGGCTCTAAGAGTTACCCAAACCTTAGGCCTAAGAAGCATCTCTAAATACCTCTCCCCCAAGAGGGAGAAGAGTCGAATTTTAAGCCATATAGATCACACCCTAAATAAGCTTATACATAAGCACATCCTCATCTATAGAGCCTCTCATCTCACATAAGCAGGTCATCTAAACCACCATAAAATACCACCATACAAGGATTCACTCCATACATGAACACACAAAGGCCTTAGTAGGTATATTACGCTAAAAGGTGGTGAGGTCTTGCCCATGGAGAAGAGAAGCCCTATAT